TTCATTGATATTCGTAATAGATAAATAGATACGTCTAAGAAAGATTAGGAAAAAAAAAAGGGGTATGGGAATATCAAATTTTTTAAATGATTTTCCTCGTTTTTTTTATTTTTTTTTTATTTTTTTTTTTATTTTTAAATTCATATGATTTATAAGATTTTTTTTTAAAATAATTAAATTAAAAATCTTTTTATAAAATTAAAATATAATAATATATATATTTATTTATTTATTTTATATATTATAATTTATTTTAAAAATTTAAATTAAAATACGAAATTTTTTATATAATATTAATTTTAAATGATTTTAATTAATTAGACCCTTAATTTATCCCTCCCTACGAATTTATTAATTTAAAAGACGCCACGCCTGGACCCACAGATACATCTGCACGGACCAACGGCGGTGTGGCTGGGTGGCGCAACCACCCGTCTTTTGAATAACGTCTGAGCTAGCTGAGATAAAATACCTCCATAACCTTGCGATGCAATGGCTCTGGGAGGCGTGGTTTGCCCTAATAAGGGACGTCCCCCACGTTAAATACAAACAAACAAACAAACAAATGAACTTCCGTCATGACAACCCCTTGTTAAAGTACCTTGCTAGACGCCCAGGCTCTTTCTTTCTCAACTTCCTGATAATTTTCTCTCAGACTTTTGACAAAGGTATCTCCAATGGTCGCATCTTCCCCGACCTGTCGCATGGCGCAAATGCCCACCAATCACGATGAGCCCACCATGCCAGGTTCCTTAATCCCCACACAACGGGTGCTGGAATCGGCGGGAAGTTCTTATGAATGCCTCCCTCATAGTCCACATCGTGCGTAGCCATAAGAAACACAGCTCCGGCCAGGATACCGAGCTCTTTCTGTGTCTTCTCAGCCTCGGTTGCGAACCGAGAGTGAAACCCCTTCAACGTGTCGCCCCACCTATTGAGGGCGACAAAAGAGGGGATTTCATCCGCCAGGTGCTGCCACAGAGCTGGAGCGAAGCCATCGATCAGTCTCACGAGTTCCTCTCCATTGTACTGCGCCTCGCCGGAAAGACATCGCCGGACGTAGCCCACGAACACCTCTAAGTCGGGTAGGAAAGCATCGTGCTGCTCGGTGTTTACATGCATGACGCCCTTTTCCCCGGTCATCTCCTCGAGGATCGGGAAGAAGATGTCGTCCTCCGTTCTATGGTGATGCTCGACACCCTTGCACCATAGCTCCGTAAACTGAAGAAATGGCTGCTGCTGTTCTGTCCTAATGTGAGGGGCTTGGATGTAAATAGCATTGAGGGACCGGATCATCACATTGTGGGCGCACGCCATCTGTGTTGCCGCATCGATGAATTCATCCGCCTGTTGATGGACATGTCAGTATAAGTGGTTGGAAAAACGACGATAATAGCGGTTGGAGAGATGGGCAGAGAAGCGTGTGTACCTTTTCATTATCGCGAAGTTGGTACGTCGGTGTTGGCAAGAATTGAAATGGATGATCAGCATAAACCTTGGCCATGATTCGACTTTCTTGAGCTTGAGGAATAGTGACGTTACCTGAAGCAGGTAGGAATGATGAGAGAAAAACCAGGGACGGTCTTCAAGTGTCAGAAGCTTTGTTTTCTTTGCCTTTGGAAAATCGCAGAACGGGCTCTCCTGATGCCAGCTGCACGAATTAGCGCCCTCTATTCAGTATCGCGACGAGTTGACGTTACATGGAGCCTGATTCTCATCATCCTCACTGAGTCCCTAGCCGAATCTGAGCCGCAATGCGCCGCCTCCAACATACATCAGCTCCAATCAACATAGGTACATAAGACGGAGGCTCCAACATACATAAGATATTTAATGCATGGCACTCTTCAATGCACCAACATATACCAGATATTTCATACACAGAAGGTTGATACTCATATTTGTTGGTAGGTAATTATAGGATGGAACGATGCATCATTTTTCTTGGCAAGAATATAAGGCGACAGTATACGCACGGTGCAGGTTAAGTGGTTGGTGCAGCGCCCTTGGACCATCGTACCATTGTACACAAATGCAACATCATTTATGCAATTGGTGTAAAAAGAAACCAAGTCAAGGCACACTCATACTCTGAATCATTTATCAATTTCACTAGCCTGGCCTCAATGGAATTCGCAGTCACATCCCAGTCTAAGCGACCAGCAGTGTAGCATTTTCGGTAGGCAGAAGGATACGAGCTTGAAAAAAGTTCCCTACATGTTTCGATCAACCCGGCCTCCAAGGCCCCCTACCAAATACATGTTGGTAGTACTCATCACACAGGCACATGATGAACGATCTCTGCCGTGACCAGAGCCTCTCGCCACTTAGGTGGCTATCATCTCGACTCACTCCAAACTGGATTTGGTCCTGGGTTTGTTGGTTGGCACTTGTTCCTATCAATGTGTCAACCCCTCAACATGAGCAATGCTGGAAATTCACTGTTGTTGTTCCCACCAAACCATCTGGAAATGCCTACTGTCTGCGTTTTTGGTGCCACCGGCAGCCAGGGCGGCTCCCTAGCTAAATTGCTTCGCGGCCTAGACTGGAATGTTCGCGCTCTGGTTCGCCAAGCAGATACCCCGAAAGCACGAGCTCTAAAGGCTGCTGGTGTGGTTCTCATTCAAGGAGATTGGGACGACAGCCAAGCGCTAGTAGACGTCATCACAGACTGCGACAAGTTATTCCTATGCCTACTTCCGAACTTCAAGGATCAGGGGTCTGAGCTTCGCCAGGCTATCAATATTGTCACCATAGCCAAGGCAGCTGGTGTGAAGCAGGTCATAACGTCAACCAGTCTGGCTGTCTTCACGCTCGAAGAGGGTCTACTTGAACCTGGCTCAATTATGTATAACCATGCATCAAGTAAGAAAGGAATCGAACAGGCCGCTGCGACTAGTGGATTTGAATACTGGACCTTCCTACGCCCATCCTTCTTAATGGCCAACTTCCTGGAGCCCAAAGTCCAGAGGTATCCCGAGCCCCGTGATAAGGGGACCTGGACAACATCAATGACTGCCAAGTCCAAGTTGGCCTTGCTCGATCACGTTGATATAGCAAAGGTTGCCATAGCAGCGTTCCAAGAGCCGCAGAAATTTCACAACAAGGCTATCGGACTTGCAAGCCAGCTTTTGACGGTTCAAGAGACGCTAGACAATCTTGGTCATGCAATTGGGCGGCCACTGAGGGCGATCTATATGACTGATGAGGAGATCGCAGAGGAGAAGAAGAGATCGAATGTCTTTGTCAACTCTCAGTCATCGATGAGGCTCATGACTAAGTACATTGACATGGAGATTTTGGGGGCCATCGCTCCTCTTACGACATTCAAGGAGTTTCTGAACAGGGAGCAGCAAATTGTGGAGAAAACTTATAAGTAAACTGTTGAGACAATATTTAGGTATAAGCGCAATTAAAAGGTCATTCGCCTACTAGCTATTGTAATTTAGTATGAGAGGGAGAATGGAAGGTGTACCAGTAAATGAATGTATTCAAACACAGTTGTGCAACTCATGCTAGACTAAAGAAACCAGATCAAAGTCCCCTCCCTCTTAACGCTTCTTGCAAAATAACAGCAAAACTCGCAACGTAATCAGGACCAATCATAGTATAGTGACTCCCTGAAACTTCATGAAATCGGGGTTCTGTTCGACAGAAATCACTCCACCTACTAAGATGCACGCGCACCCACTCGTCTCGTGTCGTGGCTGCGATCTTCAGTGGTATGGCGTGGAAGACATCGATGACATCTACTAAGCCCCGAGGCTCGTACTCGATAGCCATGCTTTGCAAGCCATATGCAACCTCTGTCCATCGCGTCAAAGTTTGTGCATCAAACCCGAGTTCATCCAGACGAGCTTTATCGGTGATGCTAAGAACCTTAGATAAAGCCTCCGGGCGAGGCATAGTTCGGAACTCATTTCGTTCCATATCATCAGCCTGAGTTTCGGTTGTCAGCCCTAGGAAGTATGTCAAGTGCAATAGACACATGTTCCAATTCAACTGCCTCATGCGCATTTTAATGTGAGGCGGCAAGTTGAGGCTCCCGAGGAACCGTACCCTGTCCATTTCACCCTCAGCTTCGAGTTTTTTGGTTATCTCAAAAGCTAGCATGGTGCCGTAGCTATAACCTGCAATGGCATAAGGGCCTCGAGGTTGTCGCTTTCGGATAGCTGCAGTGTAGGTCTCGACCGCTTCGCTGATTGACTTGAACTTTTCTTGTGGTGGCTCGAACCCTCTCGCTCGCAACCCATAGACAGGCCGATCATCTTTACTGAGGTGCTGCGCTAGACCAACGAACACCAACACTTCTCCCACGCCTGGATGTACGAGCCACAGGGGGGTCTTGCTGCCACCGGACTGGAACGTGACTACCGGGTCATAGTCATACATTTCTTGAGGTGGCTGATTATGAGAGGCTTCCAGTGCTTTGGCCATCAATCGGGCAGTGGGGTGCTTCATCAATTTGATCAGTGGTATCACATCATTCAGGCGATACTCGAGGCATTTCTTGAGTCTGATCAAGTCCAGGGATGTAAATCCCAGCTCGAAGACTGTTGTATTAGGACCAATACCACTTGAGTCGACGCCAAGCGTCTCATGCATTTCTATATATTATTTTATAACTAATACTTATATATATATATGATTCTTTTGGTTTAGATTTACGTAGTTTCGCGTTGCTTAATCGGTTTGTGCTGCGGTTACAATTGCGTAACCGTGAGTATAAGAGCACATAACTATCCCTTAAACCCCATGCAAAGCCGATTATTAAATATGAATTTCAGAATTTATACCTAAGACATATTGAGTGAGCACTGGGACAAAATTGACTGGCCAAGTTGTTTATACTTAGAGTGGCGATGCCTTTGATCGGAAACATCCTTGTTGGGCGCGGATAAGACATCATTGAAAATTCGGGGACACAGGATGTGAACTTGTGTGAATGAAGGTTCTAGATGGGTCAGCAAAAATGGAAACAAACAAAGCCTAAAGAATAACGACCGCCACGGGACTCGAACCCGCAATCTTCACCAAGCTCCACATAGTTAAATGCCGGAAAGTGACGCGATACCATTTCGCCAAGCAGCCCTCATCCGGGCCGAAGCCAGGTCCATTGGTGGCAATGGAAATTTTAACTTTGACATATATTCCACATCGCACTAGACAACAGTGTACCACAGTGAAGACAAAGAGGCTCCAGCCCATACCGAGCAGCTTTATTCTGCTGTTCAACTTTGGAAAAGTTGAAATTAACCTGCACAATGCCTCTCGATAGTTTATTCGAAAAGTAACTAATGTTGGCAACTTCCCCGTGCCTTCTCTCCGCCGATATTACGAAAGAGGCCCATTAGACTGTCCTCGGGCTCCCAACCTTGGAATGAGCAGAATAAGCGCGTCCGCGATAGGTATGCCTCCGCCTCGTCCATATGATCTTCAAGGCCGCAAGGATGGTCGGGCGCGTAATACCGTATAAACCATTTAACTACCTGAAAGGTGCTCGGTGGACAGCAATGCAGATTGGAGCGACGACGTGAAGACTAGACGACACACAAGCGCTTCTCGTAGCGGCACCAGACCCTCTCGTCGGGAATTCGCCGAGGTGTGCCATGTGTCACAAGGCCGACCAAGCGATTAGGGTAACAACTATGTTGTTGCACGAAGAGCTACGAATCTAGACTAACAGCTACGAGGTTGTCTGTATATACAAGATAACAGACAAAGGAGTCTGTTAGAAGAGTCCCAAGGGAGCCAATCCATATCCTGATAGCTGATCCACGTCCTGGTAGCTGCAAGGCCACCATCCTAGGCCACGATGCCTTCTAGAGGACCTAGAGGAAGGCTGGGGGCCAGGAAGGCCAAAGCCTGACACCATGCGTCTCAAACCCCGCCCCAGATTGCTCTAGAGCTACAGCGTCCTCGGTATGATGCTGAGGGCCTCCCCTAAACCCAAGATCCCTCAAAGGCCGGGCGGACTCGGCGTACTCGGCGTACTCGTCAAGACCTTCGAAGCCACGTGGCGAGCGTGCTCTGCTGCGGGCCTGTGACGGCTTGTTACTGCCGTTAGCAGCGCGTTGAAGTACCACTTGGCACTGACCGGAAGGGTTACCGTTGTGAAATCAAATGTCTATATGCTCGAGCGAAGCTTACTTTGATGGTAGCTCAAGGAGCTCTCTGGAATAGAAAAAGGATGGGTCAATTGGGCTAGGTGCAATGCTGTGCTTAGAGGGTCGGTGGACCAAAAGCCAATTAGGTTGGGAAGATCTCGGGTATCGGTGACATCAGGTTTTTCGATGGTGAGATACAACTTCTCCATCACCGAGAAGAGTTTAAATTTTAAGAAGAGAAGTGACAAGTTCATCGCGGAGTTGCAGTAGAAGAGGTGAGTGTGTACTAGTTCGTCATAGCACCAATAGATCCTTGAAAGACTCGGGAAGCTGGCCGTAACTAAGTGAGACCAGGCAGCCGAAATCAATGGGGTAGGAAGCTTGCACCGCGAGAAACAAGTGAATACAATGAGCTCGGATCTGATGGATACCTGTAAGATGAATATGGGATGTGCAGTTTAAACGTTCTTTTGAAGGGTAGATTGCGATTATGATTGTAATATGTGAGTGTGTAAGCTATCCTGAAAGTTCCTCAGGTAAACCGAATATTCCTTTGCTGGCGACTTGGTTGTTGATCCTCATCTCCTCGTCTGTCTTGTCTTCGCCGCAAGTCTCGTAGCTGTATCGTGGCCGTACCACGCCGAGATTGAGTTTTCTTAGTAATCTGCGACGATGAACCAAAACGCAACGAGCTCTGTACTGTAGGTATAGATGTATCCAGCAAATGATCTACGTCATTGTCAAGATCGGCGCTGTTGTGTAACATCCAGCGCAAACGCAATGCTGTCGAGTAGTCAGAGCAGCTGAAATAAAGGGATACCATCAGATTATTTCGATGGGTGGGGGCTAACCTCCTAAGTAAGCGAGCCAAACAGGTAAGTATCTTCACTGCTACCCAACTTCCCATCTAACGGGCCAGAGATACCAGCCTACATCATTTTATTGGTACCGAAGTGTTTAGCTACCCCTCATTGCGGCAGGCTGGAGGGAACCCGGCCTGTTTTGAACTGCTTTAAGAATGCGTAGGTTCCCCAGCTTCCAACTACCTAATAGCGGCAGGGCCGGATTCCTGAGAAGCCTTGTTCTGTATAACAATGATTGTTTTAAGAAAACAATCCTTCCTTAAGGAGATTTTGGGAATATCTCCTTAGCAACCTAAGATCTCCTAGGTAACCAGCAATTTCAAGCATAAAAGTCTGGATTTTCTCCTCCTGGAGGATCCTTTCCTTTTTTCCCTTTTTCTCTTTTCCTAAATTTTCTACGTTTCTTAGATAACTTAAGCAACTGGCCTATAAAAAAGGGTTCTAAAAGTATGAAATGAATTCAATTTTCTTAGTGAAAAACAATGCTTGTTATTTAAAACAAGTATTGTTATATAGAACAAGGCTTTTAACCTTGAAACAATCCTTCCCAGGAATCAGGCACCCCCGCTATGGTAACTTTGGCTCTTCAAACTCCAACCTCTTACCGTACCTTATTTGGAAGCGTCTAACTAGTTCATCTATACTTCGGAAGCATGGTGTGGGGAAGTGAGCCAGGTATTAGACGGGAACTAGAATTCATATTCAGGATCTACGCTAATTTAATCTAAGTAGCTGAAAATCAGCCTCCAAGGCCTATCAAAGATTTACCAGACCAGGAGATCGAAATCGGTAAGACATGGTGACCGTACTGGATAACTCAGGTACGATTTTTACTAATACTTATGAACAGAAATGAAAAATGCTATTGGAGGCTACGTGAAGACCCCTTCTGTGGAGCTCCTCAATGGTCTGCTTAAAGAGCTGAAATCAGAATATGAAGGCGACCATACGATCCTGTTACGGAAGAATCTTGGTGACTTTTTGAATAAGCATGATGATGAGCTTCAATTTGATATCACCCCTACGAGAGAGGCTAAGCATGTAATCTTGCAGTTCATGATCGACAGGATTCCTTCTAGTTCTCTTGGCTTCAAGCTGAGCGAGCTGGATGCTCGTCGGGAGACTCTTCTCGAGACGGCGGCCGATCAAGGACGATGGAAATGTGTTGCTCTTCTTCTCGCAAAAGTTGATAATTCACAGCCAGGGAACGAGAGGATCTATGAAGGGCTAGCTCCATATCCCCGCTCCTCTGTAAGACGAGAAATGCTAGACTTATTAGTCTTCAAGGAGTACTGCAGGCTGGGGCCTGAAGAGTTTGCATCGATTACTCAGCGGGCCCATCCCATGAACAAAAACACGCCCGAATACAAATCGGGGTCTATACATGAACTACAACGCAACCCGGAATCCTGGATACCGTTGGTGACCCCGGCATTTGAGCGGACGACTTGGATTCATGTTCCATCTACTAATGTAAGTGATTAGTCGATGTTGTTAGTGGAATGAATGATTGACAGATTTAGGGCCTCGCGATAATGGTATGATTATAATTTCTTAACTGCCCTAGGCACTTCAGGTTATCTGACAATTATAGGCCATCTTTCGGGTTTTGGCGAACCAGTATTCCACGGAAGTGGCTGACAAGATCATGCGTATCTTTTACGATCATTTTCGTCTTTCAACTATCACTCCTGGAGATCCACATTTGAAATATAGAGATGTGTCATGTGAGCTCGCAAACATGAGAAAGTTTCCCAGTACGCAGGAAGGTCACGTCATTGTGGTATGCGCCTAATTAATCCCCTCTAATTTTACGATACTGAATTGTCACTTAGTTTCCATACTTAACACTCAGCACAATTGGGCGACATGAGGCTGCCAGGGCGCAACATGATCAAGTATTGGGAGGGTTTTTTCCTCAAGTTACTCGTCTTGAATACGCTATTAGCGATTTTATCCACCTTGGGCGCACTCTGGATGAAGCTTATTATCCTGGGCTAAGTTCCCGGAATCTTGAGTTAAGGAATGACGACCAGGTGGTATCAAGGAGGTTCAAACACAAAGACAAGGAAACACCGATCCTCTTAGTGCCACATCTCTGGCTTTGGAGAGTAGGTAACATTATCATCTCGGCCTCTCCAACGACACACAGTTCAGAACTTTTCCAAGAGTGGTATTATGGTGTACAGGAACGAAGAGAAGCAGAATGGAAGCTTCAACTGTCGTCCGATTCAGCCAGAGACCAAGTATGCTTTATATTGGCAGATCACATATCTGGGTTCGGTCGGGAGTATTTCGCCGAAGGTATAAAATACCCAGCAACGCTCGATATCTTCGAGACTAGCGTGGTCTCTGTATTATCGGAAGCCACCAGATACATGAACTCAAGGAATCCTGGCTCTCTCAATTATTGGAAAGAAAAACGCCTACTCCATGCTCTATCAGATATCCGCAGCGAGCTTTCCATGATACAGTACTTCATAAATCAACAGGGCGAGGTCCTAGATGAGTTGACGAAGCAACTTGACCTCAGGAAAATACTGACCAAAGCCGCGGGCGATGTTCAGAAGTATCAGCGGCGAATCAAAAAGATTGACAGTGATGCAGAAAAAATCGAGAAGACGGTACATGACATGCTCAATCTGAAGCGGACCTATGCCAGCGTCAAAGATGCACACAGCAGCGTCATGCTTAGCACGGCAGTCATTGGGTTTACAGTCATCACGATTATCTTCGCGCCCCTGGCATTTCTCACTGCACTCTTCGCATTGAAAATCGACGGGTTCGAAAAACTTCAGGTGAATGTAACGGATGGCACATATAACAGCAGCTACATGATTGGGATTTTTGGTGAGTAGTTACTTCGTAACAATAAGCTCTTGGGGTATTGATATTAATCTTGAATAGTCGGTACCGAGATTCTCACGATAAGCCTGACTATTTCAGTTGTGGTGATATCGCTGTGGTGGATGAAAACCTGGAGTTGGGGTGTGGAGGACGCGAAGAAATTACTCGAGACGTACGGAATAGAATAGAGTCGCAAACAAAACAATTTGTTGAGCGTAAACCAGGCCACTTCAACCGTACTACTTCTGGAACCCGATTTCGACACTCGCGAAGC